AAAACAAAGACAATAATAAGAGACAAAGAAGGCACTACCTAATGATAAAGGAGTCAATCTAGCAAGAAGATATAACATTTATAAATATGTATAAATTCAACACAGGATCACCAACATATTTAAAACAAATATTAATGAACTTACGGGAAGAAATTGAAAATAATACAATAATAGTAGGGGACTTTAACACCCCTACTTATAGCAATGAATAGATCATCCAGACAAAAGATCAACGAGGAAATATTGGCCTTAAATGACACATTAGACCAGATGGACTTAATAAATATATACAGAATAGTCCACCCCCAAACAGCAGAATACACATTCTTTTCAAGAGTACATGGAACATTCTCAGAGATAGATCACATGTTAGGCCACATAACAAGTCTCAATGAATTTAAGAAGATTGATATTATATCCAACATCTTTTCTGACCACAATGGTGTGAAATTAAAATTCAATTACAAGAAGGAAACTGGAAAACATCCAAACATGTGGAGACTAAACACCATGCTAAATAACCAATAAGTCAATGAAGAAATCAAAGAAATAAAAAATACCTTGAGACAAATGAAAATGGAAATATTATGTTCCAAAATCTATGAGACACAGTGAAAGCAGTTCTAAGAGGGAAGTTGGTAGTGATACAGGTCTGCCTCAAGAAATAAGAAAAATCTCAAATAAACAAAATCTAACTTTACGCCTAACTTTACCACTAAAGGAACTAGAAAAACAAAAACAAAACCCAGAGTTAGTGAAAAAGAGGAATAATAAAGATCAGAGTGGAAATAATGATGCCCACTCTCACCTTGTAATTCAACATAATATTGAAAGTCCTAGCCACAGCAATTAGGCAAGAAAAAGAAATAAATGCCATTCAAATTGGAAAGAAAGAAGTACAACTATCACTATTTGCAAATGACGATACTATATGTAGTAAATCCTAAAAACTATTAGAACTAACAAATGAGTTTAGTAAAGTTACAGGATACAAAAGTAATATACCAAAATCAGTTGTGTTTCTATACATCAATAACAAAATATCAGAAGAGAAATAAGAAAACAGTTCCATTTACAATTGCATCAAAAAGAATAAAATACCTAGGAATAAATTTAACCAAGGAGGTGAAAGACCTGTGCTCTGAAAACTATAAGACATTGATGAAAGAAATTGAAGATAACACAAATAAATGGAAAGATATCCTGTGTTAGTGGATTGGAAGAATTAGTATTGTTAAAATGTCCATATCATCCAGTGAAACCTACAGATTCAATGCAATCCTTATCAAAATACCAATGGCATTTTTCACAGACTTAGAAAAAATAATTCTAAAATTTGTATGGAACCACAAAAGATCCAGAAGAGCCAAAGCAATCTTGAGAAAGAAGAACAAAGCTGGAGGTATCACACTCCCTGATTTCTAAGTATACTGCAAAGCTATAGTAATCAAAACAGTATGGTACTTGCACAAGAACAGATACGTAGATCAATAGAACAGAATAGAGACCCCAGAAATAAACCCACGTGTATATAGACAATTAATTTATGGCAAAGGAGGCAAGAATGTACAATGAGGAAGATAGTCTCGTCAATAAATAGTGTTGGGAAAACTGGATAGCTACATCCAAAAGAACGAAACTAGACCACCTCTTACACTATATACAAAAATAAACTCAAAGTGGATTAAAGGCTTAATCATAAGACCTGATACCATAAAACTCCTAAAAGAAAACGTAGGTAGTAAACTCTTTGACATAGGTCTCAGAAATATTTTTTTTTTGGATCTCTTTCCTCAGCAAGAGCAACAAAAGCAAAAATAAACAAATGAGACTACATCAAACTAAAACTCTTTTGCACAGGGAAGGAACCCAACAAAATGAAAGGACAATCTACTGAATGGGAGAAGATATTTGCAAATGATATATCCAATAAGGGGATAATATCCAAAATATATAAAGATCTCATACAACTCAGTATCAAAAAAACGAATAATCTGATTAAGAAATGGGCAGAGGATATGAATAAAAATTTTTCCAAAGAAGACATACAGATGACCAACAGGTACATGAAAAGATGCTCAACATCACTAATCATCAGAGAAATGTGAATCAAAACCGCAATATCACCTAACATCTGTCATAATGGCTATTATCAAAAAGACAAAAATCGTCCCATTTGCAACAACGTGGGTAGAACTTCAGGGTATTATGTTAAGCAAGATAAGCCAGATAAAGAAAGACAAACATCATATGAATTCACTCATATGTGGAAGATAAACAAACACATGGACAGAGACCAGACTAATAGTTACCAGAGGGGAAGGAGGTCGGGGGTGGGCATAAGGGGTAAAGGGGCACATATATATGGTGACGGACAAATAACAACAGACAACTGAAATTTCATAATGTTATAAATTCTTATGATCTCAATAAGAAAAAGACAAGAAATAAGTTTTGGCGAGGATGTGAAGAAAAGGAAACCCATGTGCACTGTTGGTGGGAATGTAAAGTGGTACAGCCACTATGGGAAACAGCATGGAGGTTCCTCAAAAAATTAAAAATAGAACTACTATGCCATGCAGCAATTCCACTTCTGGGTACATATCTGAAGAAAAAGAAAATACTTATCCAAAAAGATATATGCACCCCTATGTTCATTGCAGCATTATTTACAATAGCCAAGATATGGAAACACCCTAACAGTCTATCAATAGGTGAATGGATAAAGAAGAGGTGGTATAGATATACACAATGGAATATTATTCAGCCATAAAAAAGAATAAAATCTTGCCATTTACAACATGGATGGATCTAGAGGGTATTAGCTAAGTGAAATAAATCAGACAGAGAAAGACAAATGCAAAGCATAATTTCACTTATTTGTGGAATCTAAAAAAACAAAACAAATGAACAAACAAAACAAAACACAAATAGACTCATAGATACAAAGAACAAACTGGTAGTTGCCAGAGGTGGGGGAATGGGCAAAATAGGTGCAGAGGATTAAGAGATACAAACTTCCAGTTATAAAATAAATAAGTCACGGAGATGTAACATACAGCTTAGGGAATATAGTCAATAGTATTATAATAACTTTGGTGACAGACTGTGACTAGACTTATTGTGGTGATCATTTGGTAATGTATAAAAATATCAAATCACTACACTGTACACCTGAAACTAATATAATATTGTATATCAATTATGCTTCAATTAAAAGGAAAAAAAGGTCAACTCTTCCCAAATTGATCTATAGCATCAATGCAAACCCAGTCAAAATAGCTTTTTGTTGTAGAAACTGAAATGCTAATTCTAGAATTTATACGGAAATTCAAAGGACCTAAAATAACCCTCCAAAAAAAGCTGAAATAGAAAACTCAAGTTGGAGGACTTTCACTACCTTTTTTCAAGCCTATAAGTCTATATTAATCAAGATAGAATGATTGGCTAAAAGATATATAGATCTATGGGATAGAACTGAGAGTCTGGAAACAGATAGACACATATTTGGTCAATGTTCGATGACAAAGGTGCCAAGGTATTTCAAAGGAGAAAGGATATTTTTATCAAGAAAGGGTACTGGAACAATTAGATATTCACAATTAAAAGGATGAATCTTGACACTTAGCTTCACCATATAGAAAAATTAACTCAAAATGGGTTGTAGACCTAAATGTAAGTGTTAAAACTAAAACTCTTCTGGAAGAACATATATGAAAATCTTTGAGACCTTCAGCTAAACAAAGATATCCTAAATTGGACAAAAAAAACCCCATACAAACGAGAAAAAAACAATTGATACACTGGAGTCCATCAAAATTAAAAAGCTTTACTCAAAAAACAGTATTAAGAAAATGAAAAGGCAGGCCACAGATTAGAGGAATATATTGCCAAAAGATGTATCTGACAAAGAACCTATACAAAATACATGAAGAACATTTACATCTCAATAACGAAAAGACAAACGACACAAAAACTAAGCAAAATATTTTAATAGACATGTCCCCAAAGCAGATATATAGATGATATATAATCACCGAAAAAAGATGCTTAAGATCAGTAGTCATCACGGCAATGCAAATAAAACTACACTAAGGTGATAATACACACCCATTAGAATGGGAAAAATTTAAAAAGCAGACATACCAAATGTTGGCAAGGATATGGAGCAACTGGAGCTCATATACATTGCTGAAAACAAATTGTACAATCACTTCTGTATGTTCACCATACAAATAACTTATATGGTTAAACATATATACACTTCTCAATATCCCACGTATTCTACTCTTTATTTTCACTCAAGAGAAATAAAAACATAAGTCCGTCCAAAGACTTGTACTCAAATGTTTATAGTAGATTTATCTATAATAGCCTCAAAGTGGAAACAACCCAAATTTCCATCAACTGGAAATATTTTTAATCAGACCTAATTTTGAAAAACAAACAAACATGTTCAGATCTGGTTGGAAAGCCTATAATTGCACGTTTTTCTCTGAGTTTACAGTCATAGCCAAATGTCTTAATTGTAAATTAAAAAGTTTTGATTTTTACTAAAATTTAGAAGATACTCCTCTAGGGCCCATTAGTACCACTCTATAGAGGGGAGGATAATGAGGCTGCCACCATGGGTTTTACTCTCCTCGGTAATTGCCATACACATCACATAATGCTTAAAGCAATTTTAAGAACAGCATCCAAACAAATTCAATCTCCATTTAGCTTTTATAACCAGGCTTCCCCGTGTTTCTCTCTGCATGTCTTGATAGGAAGGAATCTTTTCAAGTAGACACCCACTCCCTGGGGTCTGCAAAGAAACCTCAGCTTATTTGACAAGGTCAGAGTCACCAGTACCCCATGTCCTTGTTTGTGCACCACAGTTCAACAGCATTTTCTGAATCATCTTGATGAGAAGCCAACTAGAAGAAAACATGAGAACCAGTTGGTAAGCAAGTTTTCCTTTGATGTGTGTTAGTATAAAAACCCAGTATCTGACATAGGCAAATTTCTATCTTCTAACACACACACACACACACACACACACACACACACAAACTGCTTTTAAGAGAAAGTTGTCACTTGAGCAAAAACTTTCATCTTTAGCTGATCCAATGACGGGAAGCTATTTGGCATAGACTTAGTAAAACCTTCACGCAAAACCAGCAGAGGAACTGCCAGAGCTTCCATATAGGGTGTAACTTGAGGAGTCATCCTGATGCTGGAAGAGCCGTCCAGCTTTCCAGAAGGAGGCCAGTAAAAAGCGGGGAGAGGTAAGGCTAAATTGGGAATGCTGAAGGGGAAACTGGTGCTTGTAAATATGCCTTCAAATTTTATCTTAGACTTCAATCTTCACATACGCCCACTCTAGATTGGGCTGCTCGGTGTCATGGTGATTTCTTGAGATATCCAGAAATCCTGCTTTTTTTCAGAAGTAGGTATATTTGGACTAGAAGAGAGTGAAAACCAGTAACACATGAAAAAGTGACAGAGCATATTAACTTAGTAATTTGTATTAACTAAATCTGATGAATATATGGATAATTCGTCTTTCAATAATCCAAAATTTTCATTTTATCATCAAAATTCCCGCCATTTTCCACGTGGTCTTTTAGAGGAAAATGTTGTAAATGTTTTCTCCTTAAGTTCCAAAGTGTCCACCAGAAGGGGGAGAGAAAAAAACCAAATTTCTGGGAAAATCTACTCACTTGGAAATTTGCTTTTGAACAATTGAGAATTGGATCCTCGTCCATGAAAGTGAAACAAGAATATCAGCAAATCCAGTGTGGGTTGACATGCCTAAAGTTTTCTCTAAACAGCAACATACAGTCCTTGCCGTTCTCTTTGTGCCCTGTATCCAGTCTAGAGGGGGACCGATGTATCCTACTTTGGAAAAGTTGTTTGCATTCCACACACTTGTTCTATCTCTCTTTAATGAAGACAAAGCACCACCGGTGGAAGAAATCCTTGTCATAGCCTCACCCCAAAGGGACCGGCAGGGTTTGACAAAGCCAACGCCCCAGTTATTTAGCATCCTTCAGAGATGATAAGATACTCAGGAGAAGGTATTCAGGACCCACACTTTGTGTCCTGCTACAAGAGATGGCCAGAGACGGAGTACACTATAGAGCGCCAAGGAAATAAGGTAAAGAATAAACTAGGTCAAAGGAGAGTTTGGTTTTCAACTACCTAATGAGAAATGACTAAAATGGAGTAAAGAGGAGGGGTTCTCAAATCACACATATGTTATACTTATCTACCAGGGAGATTCAATTGCCACTGAAGTTTAACAGAGAATGATTCCAGACAAGAGGTGTGCTTACTCAGAAGCAGAAATAAACTGAAATGCCTGTTCCAGTCTTGTGGAAGCAAAGGTGACAAATGATTTATTGTTTTTGTTTCTACAGATACTTCTCAAATCTCATCATCAGGCGGCTGAAGGTATGAATATTTTGATTTCTAGCAAAAGTCCAGTTTGTAAAGCTCCCTTACCTTCTTGGATCCACAAAACTCTGGCTAGCTAGACTTTGGAGCACAAGAAAAATTTATATTTTATAATGTATGTTTTGTGCCAATTTAAACATGCTCAGGGAAATAACACTAATTTGTCTTGGTAAGAAAGCTTCTTTGAATTAGTGAAATATCTGAATTAAGTTTTTTTAGAAGTGGGATTTTATAACTTTCTATACATAAAAAAATTCGAGTTGAGCTAACAATATGTCACTCAGGGAATCTATTTAGTGAATGCAGAAAGTTATTTCAATTATGCATACCAAATATTTACATTTAGCTTGCAGTTGTAAATTGTTTGTAAAAGTTTTTCACTTAAATTGCTTAAAAATTCTATTACAATATTTTTAAAAGCCGAGAATATATTTAATAAGCTCTTCCTCCTCACCCTGCGGAACTTAAACTATGTAAGTTCCTATCCGATGAGTCATCAATTATAATGAAGGCATTCTAACTTTTCCTGAAATAGCAGCTATTGAGATTGTGCTCCATGCACTGTAATTAAGTCTTATACCTTGCGTGTGTAAAGCTGGACCCTACGTTAAACATCTTATCAGTGAAGCCTTCCCTGGTCGCCTCATCTAAAATTTTAACACCTCCTTATCCTTGACATGCCTCGTCCCCCTTCCCAGTGTTATTTTTCTCTTCCACATTTATCAGTGTCTAACATACTCTACAGTTTACTTTTTTTCTTATTTGTTTATTGTTTGTCTCCCACCCTTGACTATAAGCTCCATGAAGGCAAGATACATTGCTTGTTGGCTGTTATAGCTCTATCACTTGGAATAGTGCCAGGAACAGAATATTTGCTCAATAAATAGTTGAATAAATGAGATACGTCTGAGTTTTGACATCTTTCCACATAGAACACAGACATGTATTTGAGGAATTACAGGTACACTTGGTTATCAACCTACCATATTCCGCTGAGCTAGAAGAGAGGACTAGCCGATGAGCAAGCCAGGTCTCTTCCTATCCAGAGGAATCGCTGATGTGGATAAATTTTAAAAAAAGACCATTAAGAAGAGGAAAAAGTAGCTGACTCTGACTGAAGGTTGAGGAATATTTCCATGGAAACCTTAATGTGAGTTAAATCTTGAAGGAAGAGTATTACTACATTACACGTAGAGGCAAGTCCAAATTAAAACAGGTCTTACTCCTAGGAGACACTACCAGAAATAGTCAGGGTCTATGTAGCTTTCCAATTTTATTCAATCAACTGCCCTGATACAAGCATAAAATTTGGCCAACCCTGCCACTAGTCTAATCCCATAATCTAGTCAATTTGACTTTATTGTTTCTTCCCCAAACCAATCCCCCATAACTCAATCACCTTCTCCAGTTAATGTGAGTGCCGTGAGCTCTCTTGCACACACACGCACATGGATTCATGCATGCGCAGGGACACCCGTACACACAGAATCTAAAGGCTTTAGTCTTAAATTCTTCGAAAATTTTAACAAATAAGTAAAACTAACATAAAGACTTCTCTCCACAAATCTGAAATTCTGACTTTTGAAAAAGCTTTTTTTAATTACTTTTGTAAAGATGATAACCTCTTCTTGCCTTTAGTTTCCAATGTGGCAACACTTCACTAAACTGAAAAGCTACTGCACTGTTTTAAATTTCTATGAAGAAGAAACCAGAAAGACAATAGGCAGATTACCTTCTTCTAATCAGAGTTGTCTAGGAAAAACAAAGATGCTACAAGCATCATTTCCTCAGAATTAACCTATGCATGCTAAAGGTGGAGGCTGTTCCACTAGCCATGAAAATAGGTCCCAAACTATGGCGAGGAAGTTTGTCCAGTCTATAAAAATCAAAGTCATGGATTATGTGTGCCTTATGCAAATGTTAAGCAGTATTACCACACTTCAAAAGAACTTTTTGAAGGAAATTTTCCTAGTATCCAGAAAGCAACCATTTATTTGCCCAAAATGAAAACAGGTCATGATTTCAATGTCCAGACTATGTTTCACCAGCCCAGATCCTCTCCATAACATCTATGGGGGATATAAGATGTATGGCAACTGGTAGGACTCCAATTCTGTCTTTCCTTCATTGCGGGGCCTTTGAGAAGCTCCTCTGCTGTGGGTTATTCAATACAAGAACAGAGAGAAACTATTTGAGATTAAGACTTTTTCTAATATTTGCTTAAATTGTGGACTTGATTAAGTGATACTATCATCTCTGCCCTACACCAAACCAAACCAAACAAACCCCTGTGAGGACTAAGAATTTGGGCCAATAGTCTAGGATTTTTACAAGTGACTATCAGAGTAGAAATAAATGACAGCAGCAATTCACTTGGATTAAAATAATGGAAGAATTAGTCCTGGCTGAAGATCACACAGATTCCAAAATGGACTATCTCAAGCAAATCTCTGTGTTCTGTGAGATTCCCCGAAGTCACAGGAAGCATTCTCAGGGACCCACCAAGTGGTCAATCAATGCCAATTCCATACTCTCAGAGCTTTTTCAAGAAAAGGGAACAATAATGTTGTCCCAAATCATTTAGTGTGCTCTGGGTCTGGATAAGTTTGAACTTAGGAGAGACTAATCATTATGGATCTAAGTATCTCAAAGATGTAAGTCATTCTCTGTTTTTGAATGTTTTTGCTTTGTTTTTTGCACTCTGCATATGCAGAGCTCACACACATATACACGCAAAACCCTGGAGAGTTTTCATTATCTCCTTGTTATTTTCCCCTCAACATTAGGCTGAAATGTCTGATGACTTACATGAAGAAGTTGGTATTATGGAAGTTGGTGGCACAGATGTCTATTTCTTCACACCCTACAGCTATGTGTTAACATAGTGAGAAACTGTTTAGCATGTGATGAGATGCTTTGAGATGGACATAGAGGACTAGATTATTTCCAAATATTCTAGCAGATATAAAAATATGAGAGTTTCAGGGTAGCCCACTCTAAATAACCATCTCACTCTTGCCTGAAGCCACTTGAGGAGACAGTCTACCAGATATCTTGCTTTTGGCCTAATATCCATTCAACCATCTTTGTTCACAGAATTCTCACGTGCAATGCATTTTTCAGTAGGATCTGAGAGAAAGAGGGAGGGAGAGAAAAAGAAACTCTCTTTTCTGTTGGACAGAAACCTGGGGCCAATTGGGCTTGGAAGTACTCGCCATCTCATGGAACCCAAGTAGAACTGCAAGAATAGAGCAGTTAAGGTCTATTAGCATTTATGGAGTCCCTGGATCTAAAACTGGTTCTACCCCTACCCTTTCTGCTAGGAGAGCCAAAAAGCTTCCACTCCCTTTTTTATTTGTTTATTTATCTTTTGGCTTAAATCAAATTTAATTGGGTTTTCCATCATTGCACAAGAAGGAGATACAGATGGAGAATAACTGAATTGTCAAGATCTGTTCCAAAATTAAAGTTCCCAATGTTCTTGAGATAATTACATTATAAACTGGGTGTGGTGTGTTTCACAAGCAAAATTAAAATATGAAACAAAAATAATATAAAACATAAATTAAGTTTGAGGATAAATTTTTTTAAATCTGCAGTGTTCCGTCGTTGGAATTATGTTGTAAGATGGATGGATAGATAGATGTAGACCGAGGCTCACTTGGAGGTCTTAGGTGATACTGACCTTGTTTAAATGTTTCTCGCCCTTGGAGAGATGGTCTTACAGAGTATAAACTCTTTCTTCCTTGAACAAAGCATGTAGTATTGTCTTGAAGCCATTGGAATTGAGGGTATTGTGAATGCCCTCACACTCATGACGTCTAAATTACATGTTTTTCCTTTCTAGATTATAGTGGCATACTATAACAGTACAGTCTCTTAATAAGAGATACTAAGTATCACTTTGGCTGATAGATTGCTTTTAGCATTTATGGTGCAGTGAAACTTAAAACAACAGAGAAAATCTGTAGTGGGTGGTGACCTTTCAGGGATGGTGTCGAAATCTGGTTCATGATTAAAGTAGGGTGTGGTTAAGAGGGGCAGGGATGGAAAATTCTCCTTTGGCAACTTGGTAGAGATGTGGGGTTAAACTGTTGAAACAGCTACAACAATCTGTTGCCAGAAGAGAAAAATAAAAACTCTAACAGCAACTTTAAGCTGTGCCAGGCACTATCTTAAGTGTTTTATGCGTGATCCCATTTAATTCTAAAAGCAATATAGATTTCATATCACTATGCACATGTTACGGATGAGGAAGTGAAAGCAGAGGTTAAAGAACTAGTCCAAAGTTTCACAGAGCTCCAGTGGCAAAGGCCAGGTTTGAGCCCAGGTCTGTCAAATTCCTAGCCTCATGCTCCTACCAACTAAATGATAGCTCATCCCTCTTGCCACTTCTCTAACACAGAGTAGATTCGCAAACACTTCTCTGCTCCTTTGCAGGCACAGGACTTTTTTTTGACCCTGATGATTCTCATACCAAAATTTCCTTTGTTTGAAAACCAACATGCACAAAATATTGACTAATGATCATGGAAAAGTGTTTTATTTTTCCTGAAAATTTCCTTTTTCCCTGTCTATCCTCAGTCTAGGCTATCATAAGGAAAATGTTTTTTTCTCACCTGCTTTTGAATTAGGAGAAAAAAAATACCATTTAATTGTTTTAAGCATAAAATCCCAATGTTCTTAACTGATCCTTTCAAGAGAGTTTTTACATCAGTGAAGATTTTCAAAGCCTCCAAAATTTAGAAAAGACAGAAACAGGATCTGTGTTGGCTTAGGAGGCATCTTTAGATGTGTTTTGGAAATCATTGGTCTGTTGTTCAAAATCTCCTGACAGCATCACTATTTAAGGAGGGTAGCTTTCTAGAAGAAGAAATTCACCCTCATAACTTCTTTGGGATGGATGAAGCGAAGCTTGACCCTGCTGAGGAATGGCAAATGCGCACTTTGGGAGAGTCTCTCACAGGATACTTGTGGGTCTATTTTTATCTCTAACAGGAGAACATTGTTAGCCTAGGCAAATACCGGTTAATACTGAGGTATCTAGAGAAACGTGAGCATCTTGTCCAACTGGAATCAATTTAATTTAGATTTTATATTGGTGAAGGTAAATTGATTTTTTCTATTTGCTAAGTTTTTAATGCATCTTTAAACACTGGAGGTTTGTTTTACATTAAAATTTAAGGGCATGGAAGGTTATCATTTCTTTGAATTGAAAAGAAAGTTAACAAACATAGGAAGTTTGAAAGAGATAGAAGCTTACATTGCTGACCACTCAGTTATCACACACAAGCTACTTATCTTTACGTTCAAACATCTTCTCAGCCAAATAGCTAAAAAGAATTTCAAAAGCTATTTGGTCAGCATGCTTGTTGGCGGCGTCTTCCCTTTCGAGTATCATTCCCTGCTTGCTTTGTGCATTACATCAAATCTCAGGTGGCACACTCAGGAGCCATGTGCTCCAGGACAACACCCACAGGACGTACCTGTGCACTCACAGAGTGGGGCCAAAAGCCAATGTGTTCCTTACTTGATATTTATGTTATCTTCCAGGCTGGTAGAAGTTATTATTCCATTACCATTATAAAGGATTTTCTGGCTGGAGAAAGCTAAATGAAGTTGCTATAAACTTCTAACTGAGCCTAGAAACCCATACAGCATTACTGATGATTGCTCTTTTAATTATTTGCAGATGACCACAGCCCTATCAGTGTGCAGATGGAACGGCAGATTTTCAACACCGGTTTTTCCTCTTCTTCTTTTTAACTCCCAATTTGTTTGCTGGTTTCTTTAGTCAAGTTAACTTGGACTAAGGAGACTAGAGATGCCAGTGACTGTGCAAAAGGGAAACTTGCAACTTACATAACAAGCATCAGAACCTTAAATTTGGGTGGGACATAGTAATTACTCGAATCATCCACTTTCCTTCAAGTGGGCCCATCCTTAGGCGGTGAAGGCTTTTCTCCTTACTGTATATCTACATCTCTCTCTCTCTCTCGACATATCTTTTCATACTTTATATTTGTATATATCTGTATATATGTGTATGTGTTTATCCATGTGTATATTGTGTGTATGTACAATTGTAGTAGGCAATTACATGGTGGGGGGGGGTGTGCGTCTGTGTATATAGTGTATGTATATACAATTGTGGTAGACAGCTACAGTCATGGCTTCCAATGAAGCGTGCCTCCTCTTTCCTGTATTCATGCCTTGTGTAGGCCCCACCCACATTGACTCTGGGCTCAATGAGACATAATCAAGCATGATGCAAACAGAGGCTTGATAACCACTTGCACCTTGGGGCTTATCATCTTGCAGTGTTTGCTGTTGGAGCCCTGAGCCACAATGAAAAGTGGACTATCTGGCCAGAGAGACTCTTGGAGAGAGAACGATGCCGAGTCAGCCCTAGCTGTGACAGTCAGACTCTTGGAGGAGCCCCACATGGGAGTCAAGAAGCACTCCTTAAGTTCAGCCCCTGTCCAGCCACAAGGTCTACCCACAGAAGCATAAAAACAATAAAATGTTGTTTTAAGCTACAAAGTTTGAGTAAATGGTGTGTCAAACAGTACTAGATAACTGAAACAACCATGAGTGTATCTGTGTGTGACATCCACTGAAATTCTCCAACTTTGCTCTTGTATTTTTGTTTTTATTTTTTTAATTATAGGATATTTAATAAGTAAGACAGAGTAAATAAACTTTACTTGTACATTTTAGCATAATTAACAAAGAATTACAAAGCAAAACCTATGTAATCGCTACCTAGGTCAAGAAACAGAACACTGCTAGCACCCAAACCCATCCCACCTCCTCTTTGCGCATCACAACTGGCCCCCCATTGGTAAACATTGACTTGTTTTTTGTGACATGAATTGCTTAGCTTTTCCTTATAGTTTTGCCACTAAAGTATACATTCTTAAACATTATGGTTCATGCTTGTATCAAACTTTCTGTGAACGGAGTCAGTGTGTATGCATTCTTTTAAGACTTGCTTCATTTGCTGAACTTATGTCTGTGATACTCATCCACGTTGTTGCACATAGCTGTAGTTCATTCATTTTCACTGCTTCGTAGGCATCCATCATGGGAACATAATACAGGTTATGTATCCATTCCACTCTAAATGGACGTTTGAATTCTTTCTATGAGCAATTGCTGTTAGGAACATGCTGTTAGGAATGCCTTTATACTTGCATCCTGGCGGAGGAGTTTCTCTATGGCAGCAGTTCTCAAAGGGTGACCCAGGGACTCCTGGGGCCCCCCAAGACACTTTCAGGGGTTCTGTGTGTGAAAAATGATTGTCATGATGATATTGGGGTTTTATTTTTCCTTTCCAGTCTCAATTTATCACGAATATAGAGTGGAATTTTCCAGAGACTACATCATGTGTGGTACTGCACCAGACCAAAAGCAGCAGCCAATATGAAAATTCAGCTATCTTCTAGGAGGCCAGACATTAAAGGGATTTGCAAAAATGTAAAATGATGCCACTCTTCTCCCTAAATTTTTTTTGTTTGAAAATTTCAATTATTTTTATTAAAAATACCTTATTTAAGTTGTAACATTTACTTTTAATATTATTTAATATCATTTTTAAATGAATTAGTAAATATATATTTTGAATTTTTCTTAGTTTTAATTTCAAGTACAGTAAATATCTACAGATACCACTCACATAAACAAAGCTTGCAATAATTTTTAAGAGTATGAAAGTGTCCTGAGACCAAAAAGTTTGAGAACAACCCCCCTGAGTCAGGAGGCATAAATATCTTAAAATTTAATACATAGTGTCAACCTATTTTATAAAGATGTATGCTTTTCCTCTATCACTGTGTCATATATGTACTCATCAACACTTGGTTTTATCAGATTTCTGTTTTCAATCTGGTAGAGTATAAATGTATCTCGTTATAGTTTGGTTTTGCAATTCTCTAATTACTAATATTATGTCCCTTTCATAGGTATATTGGCCATTTAGACTTCCTTTTTATGAACTACATGTCCATTTTCTCTATTAAGTTGTCTTTTTCTTATTGATATGTAAAAATTTCATACGTTCTGAATACAATTTCTTTGCCGATTATACATGTAGCAAGTATGTGTTAAAAGCACACCATATATTGTCTTCTCAGCCTTTCCACATTTTTTTGATGAACAGAAGTGTTTAATTAAACATAGTTGAATTTATTGATCTTTTACTTTATGGCTATTTAAAACATTTCTTTCCTATCCTGAAGTTATTTTTGTTTACACAGAGTTATTCCTGTTTACTTGAAGTTGTTCCTGTTTGTCTTCCTAAAAGCTTTATAATTTTTATTTTCAAATTTCAGCTTTAACTCGACCTGGAATTTATTTTTATGTAAGGTCTAATGTGGGTCCATTTTCACTTATTTCCCATGTGGATATCCAATTGAAGTGTCATTTATTGAAAATTTATTTTCCCCACAAATCTCTACTGCCATCTTTGTCATCCATCAGGCGCTGATCTCTGAGTGGGCCTGTTTTTGGGCCTCTTTCTTCTGTTTCACTGGCCTATTTGTTTGCCCATGTGCAAAACCACGTTGTCTTAATTACCATCTTTGTAATAAACCTGGATACGTGGTAAAGCAAATTCCTCCCACATTCTTGTTCTTCAGAAGTGTCTTGTCTTCCTGGCTCCCTCTTGTATTTTAATCTTATACTACTTCCTCCAACTAGCAATAATGCCAAGTGTGGGGAGCAGTACATTAGGCACAACAGTAGACAAACATTTGTTGATAGTAGATGAGTACAGAAGTGAATAATTAGGGCCCACAAAGATCTTGTCAGTTTTTCGTCTAGTAAATGAAGAACTATGTCAATGACTTCCCTTAGGAATAAATTTTACCTATTAATAAAGAAAATAATTGGAATGGGAAATTCCTTTTTGTTAGTCTGACTTGATTTATTTTACTGAATCTGAAAAGCTAAGCAAAGGAAGAGACAAGCATGACTTTCATTTTTTTAAATCTGTGGTTAGATCCTTTATTTATACACAGAACTTACGCGGAGCTGGTGCACAGTAAGCACCCAATAAATAGTGATTGCATGAATGATCTTGACATTATCTTGAGTCAGAATCCTGTAACTTAGAAAGAACCTCTAAATATGCTTCTAAAAAATTTACTCATTAAAATAAAATAAAATATTCAGACCTCTCCCCCATTTAAAAAAATGATTTCCCTCAATCTACTTTTTCACCCACACCAAGCTGCCGTCTTCTTTTACAAACGTTCACTTAAGAATCTACTTCCTTACTGCTCTTCATTCTCCATCTTGTGAAATTAGACTTCCACTCCTCTAATTCTCCAGCCACTGCCATCTCAAAGGTTAAATATCTCCAAGTTGTCAAATTCAAAGCTTTTTCTCTGATGATAGGATCCTTTATCAAGGATGATAACTACTTATAACATAATTCTACTAAGTCCCTTTTTCATGAATATTTTGTCTTTGCTGAGGAATGATTGCTAGTAACGACTGGACACAGCTCAAACGCCAACAACTACACGGAGTCTTCCCTGATCGCTTGGTCTGGAAAGTGATCTCACCTTCCTTGGAACGCCTGCTTATTTGCCTGAACCGTAATTCCCGAAGTTGTGATACATATTACACTAGTGTCCAGTTAAACTCTATTAATCAACCTGTGGAAATCTCCAGCATCAAGTGAGATCAGAAACCTCTATATTGTAACCCCTCATGCAGAGTGATAATACATATGAGAATGTTGAAGGTTCTGATAAGTCCCATAATAAAGAAAACTAAGTTTAGTTCAGCATATCTTGGATGTTTGGGGCATGAAATCTTTTTTACTTGTAACAACTGTTAACATCTCAGAGGATATGAATGGTGTGTCAAACACGATTTAAGAAATGATGCTTCACTATAAGTTTGACTCTCATGCTGTATCAAATTTTAGTTACTTCCATACACACCTTTTCTTCTTCCTAGAGTAGAAGTGCCCGAACCTTATCTTATATGTTGTTTCCTAAGGTAACTATTTTCTTAAAATGTAAAGTGAGAAGTATTTCCTTTGAACAGCCCAAACCTTATACATTTAGGGTGATTATTCTCAAACTTCAATGTACATAAAATAATTTAGGAACTTTATTAATGTAAATTTGCAAATACCCTAGGGTCTAAATCCCAAATAATCCAATGGCTCCATAATAGGGCTCAGGAATCTATATTTTAACAAGTTCTTCCAAGGGATTCTCATGCACATGATCAACAGGCCATTTTCTACAACATACCCATCTGGACACATTACTACATAGCCACATGCTACGCACCCAGGGATGTAACTGCACCATGCCGTGTTTTCTCTCCTTAAACCATCTTGACATGGCTTAATACCATGTTTGGGCACTCATGGTTATTTTTAGTTTCAACTCAAGTGATAGTTAAACTTTTTACTAACACCTTAAACTAGTAATTCTTACTGGATTACAAATGAAATCCCTCAGACTCAGAACTGTAATCTCTCCATAGTGTCCAGGACTACAGGCTAATAGCTTTGTCTGTATCTGGATTTTTTTAATAGCCCTTGGGAAGGAAGCTGTAGAAACAAATATTCAAAAATCTTCTGTTTCTAAACATTCCTGAAAATACATTTGTGCATTGCTGTTGCACCAGACACATGTACATATGGACATTAATTTGACATGATGCCTCAAATGTCTTCCATGTTGATGACTTTTTAGCACAGATGTTTTCAGATCAAGTTTTAAGAGTATGAAATCAAGAGAGTTAGAAACCAGGCTGGAAGGGACCCATGAGGAGTGCATTCTCAATTTTTGACTAATACTATCTCTTGGCTATTGTTGTTTGATCAGATGTAAATCCATTATTTTAAATGTCTACTTTATTGTCATGATTTCTGTTTTGACCCCAGGTTCTGCCCTAGGTTCTTGGTTTCTGAGTCCTGCTGCCTCCACTAAGCTCAGTTATTTGACCAACTCACCACAGACTTACATTTTCCTGGCACTGAGGAGAGAAGCAATGGCCAGTCATCAGCAAATGAGGATACAATTTGTTAACTTCTTGGATTAAATGTCATTGTGGCTTTCAAGACCTTTCGTGTTCAAAACAAGTTTGTGAAAACAATCTCAACACTACGAAAACAATCAAAAATTCCCCCAGCTAAATTAACTTAAAAAAATCTTACCGAGAGTCACTTAAATTTTCTAAGCCTTAGTTTTGTCATCTGAAAATAATAGATAATAGTGAGATTGACTTCAAGCAGTTTCTGAAAGAATTAAATGAAATAATTCAAGTAAAAAATTTTAGCATAATGTGTAACACACTAAGTACTAAAAGATGTTAGCTGTTTTTACTATTATCATGTGAAACAACCAGCACAGTACTTGGCATACTTGCTTGAATAAACAGTAGCTATTAACATTGCTATTTTTTAAAAAAATCTTACTGATGAAATAATAAGGAAGATACTTTAATCAAAAATTTAGGGGCTTGACCAGTGGAATAGTAGTTAATTTCATGTTCTGCTTCAGTGGCCTGGGGTTTGCGTTTGGATCCTGGGTGTGGACCTACACACTGCTCATCAAGCCATGCTGTGGTGGCATCACACATAAAGTAGAGGAAGATAGCACAGATGTTAGTTCAGGCCACTCTTCCTCAGCAAAAAGAGGAGGATTGCAGGGGATGTCAGCTCAGGGCTAAAACAATTTAATTAACTCAATGAACATACACCCCAAAGTAGGCACAATGCCAAATTCTTAATTTTTGGACACTGCCTAATGTATTTTTTGTTCTAAATTAATATTATCAGAAGTCTGGATTCCTATGTTGAGCTTGACTTTCTGGTTGGGATTTGTTCTTATGTAAAAAGTGTCACTAAATGCTGAGATTTGCTAAGACTTTAGTCAAGTACTTTCTCGCCAGGGAAAAGACAATCAAAGAATTAAACTGAGGCTCTGTGCATTTAAATAAATGTTTCCAAGAACTAAAGAATGCTCAGTTTATTCACAACTAGTAAAAATAACCTAGGGTAAAGAAAGATGACCTAGGCATCCTATATTCTAAAGCCAGACCCACTTTTTAAATTCTAACTTGAAGATCAAAAATAGTTTAGTAAACTTCTCACTTCTACTTTTTTTTTTTTTTTAAATACTGTGCCCTGCCACACTTCTTGGCTCTTACCAGAGCAAGGGAAAAACCTGCCAAAATATCATGAGATAGGTGGCTCTCAGGGGTACTTCTTGTCAAGCAGGAAGTGCTAGAAATTTTGTAGAATGTCCAATACAAATTTTCTTTTGAGACTCTAGAGGTTTGCCTCTGGATACACATCTGCATTTTCTGGGTGCTGGGCCAAACTGAAACGTTCAGTTTATCCATTGCTAATAAACATGTCAGCAGTTTCTTTGCTCTCACATCTGTTGTGAAAAATGTTATCTTTCCTGAAGTGTATTTATTTTGTCTTTAATACCAACTTTCATGGATTACAAAATAGAGATATGCCTTCACTTAACAAGTTCAATAGCATATGTTAGAAAGTGCCCCACAAGAGTGATG